CTAATACGAGAGCAAGAGTAGTATGTAGCTCATTCACGTCATTAGGTACGTTCTTACCTATAGAGACATTTTGGGCGATCAGGTTTTTTTTGAAGCTGTATAGAACAAGGCAGGGATTACGCTCAAATGCATATGCCCTTTCTATTATAGCGGCAAATATACATAAAACACAACTCCAGATGAATGGGGCGAATACGTACATATGTTCATCATGTTGTAAAAAGGTTGCTCGTCCAGCAACTTAAACGATGGACAGAGTTGGTATGTACCGAGGCAGGGTTTAATAGTGGCTATGGTGCCGAGGGAGTTGGATAAGGGGCATAACCTAAGACATAAATCTCCATCGAATGAGATTTAAAGATTGAGAACTGAGAGGAAACAGCAGAATTCTGAGAGCTCAATATCTGAAGATCATGGTATCACGGTAACTCGATCATAGATCCCAGATTAGACATCCCTCTCCCCCGCTATTTCGTTATTTCTTCTCATCAACTCTGATGGGAAGGATTACCGTGACAGCCCCAGATATCAAATCCACAGGGACCAAGTTTCTTTACTCATAATCTGCAGAGACAGACGAGTCTGGTTTTTGCTTCCATCATACGGATCCAACAATGCTGGGGTTATAGATAGGAGATAGCAGAATGAGATAGTTTTATAGAAGATCGTTTTCGAGGGTGCCACTGAAAACGGCCTACAGCCAGTTCATCACCCTAATCACCGTGTAATTTTCAAATCATCCATCGGGAACATTCCAGAGTTCCACCACGAACTTGTTGAAAGCGTGGCGTTGAAAGATTAGCGATGGCGAGGATAGCTCGTTCCTCTCCAAGGGTACTTGCTCGTGAGAGTGTGAGTGTAATCGAGCCTTTTTTGTTGGTTAAGTTATTTGCATTCCCAACAACTGGGAAGTGATTCACAGAAGACCATAAATGTATTCCACGAATTTCTTCATGGAAATTAGCTCCCTCTCTAATCAGGACTTATTTAAATAAGATTTATCAGCTTAGATTAAATGAATGGCTAAAGAACACGTTACTCATAGCGATCAACAGTTCAATTGCACTCACGTTATCAGAGGCCCTACAGTAAGTAGCCTGAAGTCAGTCTGAAGGCCCTCATAACGATCAACCTTGAACCACCATAAATAGGTTTGTTATTTAAGCAATCCGCTTAAATGTTGCAATCCAAAGACGAAATTTATCAAAAATTTTCTGAGCACCTAAGATGGAAGAGCGATTTCCGCTGAGCGAAACCTTTGTAAATGCAAGATTTAATTAAAAGATAGCCCATGATTGGCAGAAAATGCATTATCTGCACTAAATTCCTTTGAGAGCTACGTTCAGAGTGATCAAAGGTTCAAAAAAGGCACTATTTTCCTTCAGGTCTAGTCCAGTATGGTATAAATTAGCAAGATCTACAGAAAAACTGATCTGGAACCTTACAACAAGTTTTTGTGTATTACTGAGGTCACTTTTGTCTTTCAATTATACTGGTAGTCATAAAATTTCCAACAAAAAAATATGTTATGTGTTCCCCTGCTATTCCCTTCATTTTACCCTTGATTTTACTGTACAGTAGGTATAGAATGAATAAATAAATCCTTCCAACTTTCCTTTTATTACCTTCACATTTTCTTTTGAACTGTATGTTCCCCTGGTTTTAGTCGCTTTTCTAGGGGTTTGGCTTTCCTATGAAGTCAAATTTCGTTTACTTTGATTCTAATTTACTTCTGGATTGAAGAAACTCCATTTTCAAATTTTCTCGACCCTATTCAGTCATCGTTCAGATCCTTCCTTCTTTTTCGCCCTGCCTACTTTTTATTGCATACTCTCCAGGGCTGCTATTCACGCTTACGCCTTGAATAACCGTCAGTCCCCTACTAGTTTTTAATTAGAATTCCAAGAGATGTCCGACTTTGACAATTCATTTGTGGTCGGTCGAAAAAAACAAGGAATGCTAGGAAGATTGCTGTGAATCGGAACACGGAAAAGAAAAAACTGTTGCCTTCCCGTCGTATTTCTTCTTGTCCTGAAAGCTTTTTAGAGACTGATGGCTTTCTGACCAATTCCTAACGTGGCATAAAAACAAATTACGTCGGTAATTACCGCTTCGAAAAAGCTCTGAAGAGACAATTCACTGATTAAGTTCCTCGGCAGTAATCCCGTACTGGAATTCGTTGCCAAGGCCACTCAAGAAATTGCAGTGGCTGTAAGAAAGTAAGCAAAAAATGTGTGCTTGAGTGCAAACCAGTAATAAACACGGAATTGAAGCAGAACATGACAACATCGCCAAAAAAAGATTGGGGATGGATATGGTAGGCCCCGATTCACTGGAAGTCGTCACAAGTTAACTCAGTAATTACTGTGTAGGGTAAAATAGTCTTCTGGCGGGTTAGCAACTTCCTAACGGAATTGATTTCATGGGTTTAGAGGTAGGTAAGCATGAGCCTTATTTTGTGGATAATAGGGATATATTGAGAGTCGAACAATCGTACCTACTTAGTGGGTGTTTCTTTCAGCAACTCCGATTACCGCCAGCCCGATGGTCCAACTCCATCACGAAAACTCAATACTCTGGGGGTGATATCCATATCAGGGAGAGTCTAAACAAAACAGCGCCGTAATCTGGAACACTTTTCCGACAGAGGAGACTTTGTTCCCGGCGACTGCTTCCTGGCCGCTAATCTCCTCTTACTAAGAGGATACAAAAGTAGTTGGAGATATGATGTTGCCACAAGTACAATGGGAATTTTATAATTACTTTCTGTCAAGGGGTTGGTTTTTTTCGAAACCCTGAATCCAACAGTAACAAAGTTGACATACAGCTTACCATTAGGAGCTCGGACATTCTGTGGGGGTGTCCAAGGATTTGTCATGTCATATTTCGAAATCAACAGGCTCCCCAGTGAAAAAAGTGCTAGCTTATATTCCCAGGAGATCTCAGAACGTGGGCCGGGACTTTTGGGAGGGGAAATAATGTTTTCGTACTCGTCAGGCATAACCACATGATTCCCTCATCCATTCCGAAGTCATGCAAATCTTTGCCCAACAAAAAGCTGATTACGTAGTTGACAACGAGATTGTACTGATGGGTATTTTTTGTCGAGAACAAGGGAATTGTGATGAAGGGACACTGCCAATCAAATGGATGGATGAAAGAACATTGAAGAAAGCAAGAGAGATTTCACTTCAGATGGAGAGAAAATGGGATTTCTACATATACGAAGCGAAGGAGTTGAATGTTCGCCCTTTCAAGAAAGTTGCTCCAGACGAGGGTCAGGTTACGGAAAGGGCTTCAAGCTCAAACATGATGTAGGCTTATAGAGTGCTTTTAACCGACCATTCGAAAATGCTCAGAAAGTGGGGGTATCCGGAGGAAAAAAAAAGAATTCTTTCTTATGCATTACGAGATACTTAGCTCAGATTAGAGCGAACCGTCATGAGATATCATGGAGTCATATATCAACAGCTAAAAAGGGTCCTCCTCATTATGACGTAAAACCAGAAACCTATCAAGGACCTTGATTCATTTCTGTTTGAGGGAGAGAAGGGAACTTTCTTCTCGTGAAGCCAGTAGACTTCCGGAGCTAAGCGAATCTTACAGTAGGGAAACACACGACAATCAAGTGTCAGTGTTTTACTCATGCGACCCGTTCTTCGATTCACTTTTCTGCCATTGTACGGGAGCGAGCCCATGAACCCTGATGTTCCATATCCCCAAAGTAGCCCTCAAGATGCTATGATTCACTGATTTCAACGGAATTCAATAGTGAATGTGTTGTAGTCGATAAAATCGAGGTTTCACTAATTATCTCAAGGAATTTATGCAGCCATCGTACGTAAGTGAAAATTCTCCGAACGAATCAAATAACTTGTCACTTTCAGTACTACAATTTCAAGGATAGTCACACGGCTATAATTACAATTAGTGTTAAAACGTTCAAAGCACTTTGTCCTCTAATTCCTAAGTTCTTTACGAGTGCGATAAGATCCTCAATTCCCAACGGTAAATGAGTTCTTTTTTCATGTTTAATTGGTATTGAGCAACTGAGTCGACGTGAACTTACAAAAGAAGCTTTCAAAAACAGACAAGGGACAAGTTCGAAGCCCAAAAGCCAGATTCTGTTTGAGTCATCCATTATGAGAATTTTCGGTGGTTGAGTTGAGGTGAACAGAAACTTCCCTCCTCTCCAAGAATGACTGATGGGTGCTGTACTTGGGCGAGAGAATCAGCTAACAGATATAAGGCTATGGTTCATTTAATTAATTCTCATTCAGGGAGTTGAAACATAAAGGGCTGACCTATTTGAAAGGCGCCACGTACTCGAGTTCTACTAAAAACCATGTAAACAAATAAAATGAATGTGTATTTTTACAATTTCTTGACTTTTTTTTTGACAATCACCCTTATCCACTCGATTGGATATAGGACTTGTTGGTGATACTTGGAAAGAAGAGTTGCTTATATAGTCGACTGAACAGCTCTTTCCACATGGCTAGTTAATTTGCAGTATCAAGTAAATAAAATTATGGAATGCATTGAAAATCAAGGAAAGGCGCCAAAGTATTTTTCTGTAATTCGCCATTCTGTAGGCGGCTAAGGGAATGATGGAACGAGAAAGTGAATCAGCTCTTTTTTCCTCAAGAAAAACATAGTACACAATCTGATATTGTTGGCGTTCCGAATCGGTGCAGGAGCGATTCAATCAAAGTGTCGGTTCCGATTATGTTAGCCGAACAACGTTGTGTTGTTTGTTATGTTGTTCGCACGGCTGGATAAACGAGACATTTGGGCTTTCAGACGTATTCAGCCGAGAGAGACGTGGCTGCACTCCAATCTAAGAACATTCATCACTAACCATCCTGTAACCACTTATCATGAATAGATTCCCCGTGAAAGGGGTCCCTTCTCAAGCCGATAAATTGTAGAGCCATGAAAGGAATTCCAAGCTACTGCTGGAGGTTTGCGTGACTCGAAACGTGTGGTAAGGGGGCGATGGATATTCGTCAGAGATTCCTATCAACCCTTATAAGTGGAAAAGCAAAAAGGAGTCCAGGTGTAGTGTCAAGGACGTCCGATAGCTGTACGAAAAATCGTATAACTTTCCAAGACAAGCGAATGAGCATTGTTGTCGTTCTTTTGGAATGCGCCATGCTCAGAATCGTATTGGCAGTTTTGATCAGTCGACTTCTAAAGGGCTAGCCAGTCAGAGTAGGAGTTCAAGGTTCACCTGGGCGCAGCACCTAGTAGTAGACCTACGCGAACTATCACGAACTTGTTACACTCGCTTTTCGGTAAACCTTGGTAAAACAAGATTATAGGAGTTAATGCCCAACTGCAACCACCTCATACCCTTCAATTCTTCCATTCTGTTCCCCTCATATTGTCCGAGGAAAGTGAATACATAGAATATTGGAATGCAGCAATGCTGAATAAACGGATTGGCATGTTAAAATCTCATGGCGCCTATCAAAAAAAAANAAAAAAAAAGGGTCTTTGCATAGTTATTGTATGAATAAAGCAAGCGTTGAAGCATAGGTAGAGAGCAGTAAGCCCAGCCTTTCATTAGGTTTTCATAGGCACGGGCAAGAAATGGTCTAGAAAGAACACCTCAGAGCCAGGTGTTAGGTGAAACAATGGAGACAATTCTACAGTTCTAGTGAATCCAGTACTAAACATGGACTTACCACTGTAGCACAGACGAAGAGTGCGATCCGCAGAGCAGAAGCAGCGCTAGAGTTCATTTCCCTCTGAGAATAGTGACTGCCAAGGGGCGGAGTCGAGACGTTGAGGTCCGGGACGCTCGGTGACGTGGACAGAATGAAGTGGTGGGCGGAGCTCCCGAATTCGATGTGGTTCTGGTATACGATTAAGAATGTTGAAAGGAATACACTAGGGAGTCGTATCGAAGTTGCTCAGTATGCGAAATTGAAAGAGGTGAATGACTCCATGGCATCGAAAAACGGCGGAGTGGGTTGTCGTCAAACAGAGCCGAAGTATGCATGAGTTTCTCACAAGGGGGGGGGGGGGGGGGGGGTAAGAATCTACCATAACCCTGTCCACGTGATGAAGGATAAGGACATAGTTCACGATAACTTTGGGGTATCTAGTTTTAGACGAATAATGGAAGTGATGGTCCAGTATTGCAGTAGAATAAAAAAGCGAAGAAAGCGCGAATTTTGGCTATTATGAGAAATTTAAGGCTTCAAAAAAGGGAGCTGCACGACATTGTCCCGAAAAAATATTTGGACCATGTTCGAATGCACGAGCCATTGCATACAGCTGGCTGCAGTAAGCTACCTGCATGCAAGGTGTGTGTCCTGGTACGAATGATGCAACTTCTACAGTAACAACTCGCCCGCCTTGGGTGTGTACGTCGGCTTAGCCGGTTTTGGGGTCTTTGTTAGGCTCTATTTTGACAATTTTTCGCCCCGACAACGTTCCTTAGGCTATCCTTGGGTGTCACAGGTTCATATATGGGAAAAATCTCCGGAACCATTTTTAAAGTGAACTGTGCCTTTGAAAAATCAAAGGTTCCTCCTTGAAGAACAAAAGATGGCCAGATGTCAAGCATTCATCATGTGGCCCTTTCAATGGTGCCTTTGCACCTAACTAGACATCACGGTAGGAGAAAAAAATGTAAATAAATTCTGAGATTTAAAAAAAACTGCCAGAACGGCTAGAAGTAACGTTATGAAGGGATATTCTGAGGATGAGAACTTTGATTTTACGAACAAAGTTGAGTCAATTAGAGTTGGCTTCCAGAGAAATACTTCTGCGGAAGAAGGTATATAATATGAAATCTTCACCTCCAGCTGACGAGGATGCGATTTATACCAATCTCTCGGG